TGATAAAAATGTCGGACAATATAGCGATTGTGTTATAATCGACGCTACAGATGAAACAAACAATCATACCTCATGTCTGGATCAGCTCGACTCAGATAATAATGTTCAAGATAATTTAGTGTTAATTATGATGACTTTATGGATGATATCATTTATACAAACCATTTGTACGATTGCTTTATCATTGGATTCTTTCACCAGATTTAATACCGAACACAGAAATAGTTAAGTCATTAAATATTTATATTATAACTTATTTTAAAATTTTATTTTGTTAATGAATTAATCTTAAATAAAATTTATAGACTGGTATAGCAGTGGTGTATATCTATTGACACAAAACATACTGAATATAATTCCTGTAACAATCAATGGCTTAATAATAGCCGTAATTATATTCAATATTAGTTCACAATTGAATGAATCGAAAAGGTTTTGGCCTTTCGTTTACTTTTACGTGATTTCAATACATATAAGCGATTCAATCGGATATTTATGTCTATTCCTCATATCAAACACTCAGTTGTGTTTTGTAATTGGATTTATGATAATTAATTTGAATCAATTATTTAGTGATATAGCAATTTATTTAATTGATCTTGGTGATATAATGAATGCATTTGGAATTTTTATACCATCACGTTTTTCTACTCCTGGTCTATTTGTTAGCATTTATGGTCTCAATCGTTGCACCGATGGTAAAGTGTCCAAGGTGTTGTTGCAACACAATATTAATTTTAATGATAATGACATTGTAACTAAATATATGACTTATCTATTGATTCAATTTATTTTTTATAAATTAATGACATTCATCGTTTTACTTATTGTTAAAAATCCAAATATATTTCTAAATGTTGTTAACATTTTAAAGAAAAGAATATTTTCTATATTTTTGTGTAATAGAAATAATAGAAATATAAATAATCAAAACATTTTAGAAATGATAACTATTAATGAAAATAATGACGAAAACAATGAAGTGATTGAAATTGACTATAATTTACAAGAATTGAGTCCACAATTGGATGTTATAATAGCCTCTAAAGCATTGAGTGTCGCATGGATTGACTTAACACTAAAAGTGGACAAAACATTGTATTCATCGGAAAAAGTTATTTTAGGGACGATTAGAGGGTTCGTAGAGTTCGGCTCTTTGACGGCACTTATGGGTCCGTCCGGTGCGGGAAAGACATCACTATTACGAGCATTGAATGGCATGAATAAGACATTAATTACCAAGAAATCAGAAATCTATTTAAATGGAGAAATAAAAATCAGGGCCTGTTTTATAGCTCAGGACCAAAGGGAACACATTATGGCCGGAATCACTACAAGACAGGCCATCATCTATGCCTCAAAACTTAAAAATAGTGACACCAATAGTAATGTTAATCACGAGTCTATTGCCGACAAATTGATGTCTGAGTTGTGTTTAAATGATATTTCGGCCATAAATGTGGAGAAATGCAGTTCTGGTCAACAAAAACGTATTGTAATAGCAATGGAAATGACGGCTGAAATCAAACCAAATCTTATTTGTGTTGACGAACCGACTTCTGGTGTCGACAGCTATTCAGCGCTTTTGGTATTAAATTATTTTTAAAAATTATTTAAACTATAATTTGTATTAATTTTCTAAAAGATGATAAAATGCTTCAAACGATTGTCCCGTAAACACAATGTATCGATGATTGCATCCATACATCAGCCAAACCTCGAAATCCTAATGTTATTCGATATGTTGTATATATTGGCCAAAGAAGGAGTCGCCGTATACTCGGGTCCGCCCCGGGGTTTGCGCTCACATTTAAGTGAATGCAATATTCAATGCAATGAAAACCAAATACCGATTGAAGTACTCATTAAACTGTCGGCCAACGGATCCAGTGATGAAAACGTGATGATAATGTCTCAGAAGACAAATAAGATAATAAACAAATACATTGAAAGGATTCGCACAGAACTGGATATCTCTTCGGACGGAATTATTGTTTATTTTAAACACTTTTCTGTCACTGAATTCCTATACCTATTGTCGAGAGCCGTCACAAACTTCCGACGACACGAGTGGCGCATAATATTGATTGTAATATTTTTTACTTTAATTTTTGAATTGTTCACCAAAATGTTGTTTAATTACCCCTTGGATTGGGCGGACAGTTGTGTAGATATCGGTGTTAATGGGACTGATGTGTGTCCGCAGGATTCACGTGCTTTTTATAGCGACAAAATGATTACTTATAATCTGTTTTATGTAACATTTGCAATTCAAATGTGGTTTGTAACACAAATATTGTTAGGTTGCGTTATAATAACTAACGATTTGTCCTTGTTCATTCGACAGTGCCATAACGGTATGTATATAACATTGTCTAACTTATCACATGTATTTAAAATATCTACATTAAAAATGGATAATATATATCTAATTATACTAAATAGGCTGGTATTCCGTGGAATCGTATTTTATGGTCAAATTTCTGGTCAATATTATACCCATTTTAGTGACCAATATTTGTCTGTCGTTTATAATCGATATCTACGACCGATTGGACGCAATGCCGGCCGCGATCTTTATGGTCATTACATTGGCTTCAGTGGCCATACAAAGGATCTGTCACTCAATTTGTATATGTTTTCCCCGACACACGGCTTCCGCAGCCATAATGTTAGTTGTTTTGGATACCATCACTAACCCTAACCTAATACGAGTGCGTGGATTCTCACCCGTGATAAAACACTTGACCAATTTGTCGCCAATCAAAGCCGTGTTTAGCTATTTGCAGGTCTATTTGTACGGTCGCGGCCGGTGTCCGACCGGTACTCACATATCGTCTGTATTATACAGAAGTCAACTGATGGACAAAGATCTGGATAAGTTGTGGCGTCTATTAATATTTCAATGCATTTTCTATACTATTGTCTCGTATTTTGTGCTCAAAGTTAGGGTTCACTCGCAGTCCATACAAATTAAATATAAACAGTTAGTAAATTGTATTAAATTATAGTATCTATAGATAATTAATTATTTGTTTTGACGAGGTTATATTTATTTAATATAAGTCTATAATACTATGGTAATAATATTATATTTATAATTAATGTTTTACAATTTTAAATTCGTTTAAATTATATAATTAATTATATTTTAATTACAACTTCACATGATATGTACATTTATTGCTTTGGTTTATCATATTGCATTATTTATATAAATGTACCTTGTGGTTATTTATAAATCAACATTTGGTAGCCTTGGTAAATATTTGTTTAAACTTATAATGTTTTGCAAATAAAATTGTAAAACTCAATATTTTACCAAAATATGTTTGTGTATATCAAATCAATATTTTTTATTTACATTAAAGTTATGCAGATATATAATAATTATTTAATATTTCATTAATGTAAACATTAATATATTAATATTAAAAATAAATTTTTTGTTTGAAAGTATTTACTAAATTAATAATTTCAATATTTTAACATTTTAATACAAAACATTTTAAACTGATTTAACTACTCGGGTAAAACTACTCGGATAAAACTACTCGGGTAAAACTACTCGGATAAAACTACTCGGACAAAACTACTCGGATAAAACTACTCGGATAAAACTACTCGGGTAAAACTACTCGGGTAAAATATATCCAATACTTTCTTTTAACTCATAAATTTTCATTTAAATTAAAAGACTAGGGTTGATTGTACTAGATTGTATTTTAATTAATACAATTATAAAATTATTAGAATTTACAAATTAGATAAATTAAAATATAATTTGAAAATAGACTAATTATTTTAGTTATTATAATTAAGTAAGTAATTTATTTTATATTAATTTATATTGTATTAATATTATATTTAATGTTTTAATAAATCTAGTTATAGATAATGCACATACAGTATAAATGACAAATGTAATCCTAGTTTAATTAAACTTAATAAATCAATACTGTTTACAACATCATTAAATGAACATTTGGTAACCTTGATATTCATAATATTAAAATCAATTTATTGATCATTAAATATAAAGATCTTTACATTTATATTTTAAATGTTCAATAGACTACTGTATATCATTAAAATATTTATAAATCCATATATTATTTGTTAATTATTAAAAACTTTGAATAATAGTTTATATATTTATTTTAGGGATGCAAATAAATATGTTTAAAATAATATAAATATTTAAGGCAAAATTTGCATTATTTTATAATTAATTATTGTAAATATAATCACAATTCCTAACAAAATGAATTTAATTACTATTTATTTGAAACAACTTGAAAATCAGTACTCATTGAATACAAAGCCGACAATACTTGAGAAAACAATATATTATTTATATTTAATAAATTGTTTGAAATTAATTGTTTCAATGAATTGCGATTACGAGACACAGAAACTACTTTTTGATATATCAATATTCATGGGAGGGCTGATAAAAACCAATCAATTAACTTTCATCCTGATCATGTTGTTTGGCTCGTTTCTGTATAAACGTATTCATTTAGACTCAGCTAAACAGTCAAACATATGGCTAAAAGTGATGTTTGTGGTCACCGGGAGGACAGACATGCAATCTATGCCTTTATTTTACATAATGTCCGGAGAAAGTAGAGATAAAATAATTGCAAAGTTAAAAGTTTTTGAAACTATTTATACTAAATCTTTTGTTATTTTGTGTAAGTATTGCTTATTGTATAATGTACAGTAGTAAATTTATTATTATATTATAATTTATAAATTTATTTAAACAATTTTACTAAATAAAATTAACATTTCCAGATTTGGCCATTATCATATTTTTTACCAAAATAATTATTGAGCATTATACCATTGTAGAGCTATTTATCTCAATCTTACCACAACTAATTGGTATTACATTAATGTTTAGTTACATTACGGACTCATTGTTTGCAATATTTGCAATGTCTGTTACGATATATAGTGGCCATCAAGTGATTAACCAAATTAACCATATGCTTAGCGTACAAATAGAACCTAATAATGCATTTATCACTAATAAAATGGTAACATATCTAAAAGCCCGGCGTTTTATAACTGATCACCACTTGTTTTGCTTAACAATCGCCGGTTTAAATAGGTTTTACAGTCAATTAGTATTCATTGGTATATTGTGTTTAATACCAATTAATATCATTTGTTGGCATCAATTGCTATTTGAAACGCTTCCCATTCATGTCTGGGTTATCATCGCTTTCGATGCCTTCTTAACAACTTGTGTTATATTTATTATTACGTTTTTCACGGCTTATATATCATTGAAAACTCATTTATCGGCCAAACGTTTAGCACGTATTCAGTGGCGGATCAATGGCTGGCCGTTTCGGCTCACATTTAAACTCAAATTAATGACATATTTTGAACGATTGGCCGCTAATCGCAAAATCGGTATTACATGTGGACCGTTGGGCACTCTAACTATGCCTGTATTTTATTTGGTTTGTATAAAATACAAAACAAACTTTTTATTAATTCGTAGCTTTTTAAATTAATTTTCTTTCTAGATTACTGTAAAGTACATTCGATATTTCATATTAATTCACAAGTTTTCGTATCAACTCAAAAATTAATAAATAATAAATATTGAAAATTATTTGTGTTCATTAATAAAAATTTTAATTTAACTATAGTACAATTTCCAAGGTTATAAATGTATATTGTAATTATATAGTAATTGTCATTATTATTATCAAAACTTACTTAAGATTATTGGAAAGGTAAGATCAACTTGTTTATATTTAAACTATTTATTTATTTATAGACTTTTATATGTATTATTGTGCAAAATATACGATATCTTACAAATGAAACCGCTCGCCTGTTTATCAGGATGTTATGGACACTACAATACATTATACAATTGTAATATTTATTACACTACAACACTACGACAAATAAATTGTGTATCAAATAAAAACAACACGGAGCATTTTTTAGAATTAATTGTTATTAATTAATAATTTATTATTGGTGTAATTAACCTACAATATTATTAGAAAATATAACTCTACATAAACCTATTTGTTTAGTTGCCAATTACTGATTATTGCTCTTGTTTACTTTTGCGCAACATTCCAATGTAACCAAGTGTTAAATAGACAATTGTCATCCCTATTAACACCATTGAATCCCAATGGATATCACTTTCATGGAAACCCTGTGCAATGATCACGCTCGAACCATTGCTAAAACAGTGTCCCACCGATTCGCTATTATTGTAGCATGGTATATAATCAATGCCTCGCCATTGGCTGACCATAAAAGTTTCGTAACCGTAATGATTAATAGCTAGATATTTCATCCATATTAACCAATGGGGAATTGAACTAGAATTATAAATATAATTATTAACTTACATATTTATTAACTTGATATAATAAATGCATTAATTAATTCAAATATAATTAGTCCTGATTAGTTATGAATTAAATTGAACTTGTTATTTTTGAAACTATAATAAATAAGTACCCTGAATTAATGAATAATCCGCCAAAAAGTGTCATTGTTAAATTGATTGGTGGCACAATTATCATGGCCATTTGCGCATTGGGCACGATGGAAGATATAAGGCAGCCTAATAATAAATTGTAAAAAGCACATTTTCAAACTAATTGTTAGATGGTGTATTTAGATGGATATATTTAATATTTCAATATTAGCACATAGTAATACTTATTCTTAATCAAGTTTAACTAAATTACACAATGTAATTAAACAATATAAACTAATACCTAGGGCCCCGCCGGCAATAAGTAATAACATATTATTTCCAACACAAATGGCAAACGCCTCGGAATCGGAATTCAAACCGGCCATGAAATACACAATTGATATGAAAACCATTGAAATAACCATCGATACGGGAATCTATAATAACCATAATTATAAGTTTTACATTATATTACCAAGTGCAACTGGCAAAATTATTGTTAGCATAATCTAAATTTAATATATTAAATTTAATTAAATAATCACTTACCCTAATACATATTTGAGACATGTAGTACGTAATCACCGAATACATATGGTTATGGTGTTCGCGCAAAAAGATAGCTGTGCCACTGCAAAATATCTGCAAATATCATAACATTTGTCAACTCTACATTTAGCATGACCAAATGAATTTCGCTCAATATTGTGCACAACAATAAACCACTGAAAAGCACTTACGTTAACAAACATTAGAGTGTNTGCAAAATATCTGCAAATATCATAACATTTGTCAACTCTACATTTAGCATGACCAAATGAATTTCGCTCAATATTGTGCACAACAATAAACCACTGAAAAGCACTTACGTTAACAAACATTAGAGTGTTAAGCACTATATTGTTTTGTACGATCAGAAATAGAATACCATTAATGTTATCGACATCAGTGGATGTGAAATATTGTCTGTGAAATATTATACCCATAAATATTGCCAACACCTATGCATTCAAGTAATAACCGAAGGTAAAATAAATGTTATTTACAAATAAAATTGATCATATTAAATTAGTTGAATTTAATTTAATTAAACCTTAGAATGGTAATAAAATTTAGTATTTATTATTATTTAATAATTACAAACCAATGAGCGAACTAACTGCATTTTTATTAGTCCGGTGTTACGTATGGTTAATAAAAACGATCGTGTCATAAGCGTGGTAAATTGTAGCCATAAACCTGGTCTTTTATCCTCTTTATGTTCATAATTATTAGATGTATAATTATGACCACGATTATCTGCTTCAGCGATCTCTGATAGTATAGCTTCACTGTATTCCGAGTCAAGGAATTTATCGCATAATCTCTGAAAAATATATTTAAATTAACAATTACTAAATGCTTCTAAAAGGGAGCATTTTACTTTTAAAACATGTTAGGATTTGTTTATTTTGCTAATTTATTATGATAAATTTAATCAATATAAAATTTATATTATAAATTAATCTTTATTTGCTTACATTTGCATTTGTCCTTGTTTCTGGTTGAGATGTTATTGCTATAATAATATGTGCCCAAGTAAATTGTATTTAGTTAATAAATGTATTAAAATACTACGTTAATGCCGTGAACTATGTTGTCATACTTGCCCAATTGGTTCATATAATAATCACTAAGGTTGTAGTTTTGCGGGCAAATCTATAACATAGTTAATAAATAATAGTAAATAGTAATAATTAATGTCACTTTAACTAAGCATTAATAACACTTACATAACCGTGTGATGTAAAGAATTTTTTAGCATCATCTAAAATTATAGATACAAATTGTATATAAAAATTAAATATTCATTTGATATACAATAAACAATTTATACCATTGGTTCCCATGAAAGCAACCCTTCCGTCGGTCATCAGTAATAAGTGATCGAAAAGTGCAAACACTTGAGACGACGGCTGATGTATAGTACAGACAATAGTCCGGCCCTCACAGGCCATGGCCTTCAATAGCCGTACAATACTTTCGGCCATAAATGAGTCCAAACCACTCGTCGGCTCATCGCTGGTAAGCATTGCATGTAATATTAATAATGAGAATAATTTATTTTAAAAATAACTTTTGTTAAATAACATGGTTTTAGTTTAAAATTTAAATATAGTTGCATTTACAGCCCTACACTATTTAACCCCTATATGAAAAACGTTATATATTAACATAATTACCAGATGTAATTGCTACCTAAACAATATTGGACCATTTAATAAGTATTTTGTATAATCTTGCAACATAAAACATATAATTATTTATAGTCATTTATACACTTTATGTGAGTTTGGAGACTACGTTTACTGTTACGTTTCATTTCACCCCCAGAAATGCCTTTAACCAGATGTCCACCAATTCTGCTTTCAGAACATTTGACCAAGTTTAACTACATTATAAATATATTGTTAAAATATAATTAAAAATTTACAATTATTTAGACATTTAAATAATTATAATTATGGTATTAAGTTAATATTTTTGACAACAAGGATGATATCTACAGATAATTTATGTTTAAGTATTAATACTGTACAAGTTAATTTAAGAAATATTGCAAAATACACTAAAAATAATTTAGTAATTAAGCCATTTTTGATCAAGCTAAATATATCAATTTACTTTTATCAATATATCTTGAACCAATTTATTTTTTATGATTTGAGTCAAAGTTCCACCAAAACGTAAAGTGGCCTTAAATATAATTTAAATGTTAGATTATAGAATTAAAAATAAATATTTAGCTTTGCAATTTTAATTAAATAATTAATTAGTAAAACCAATACATTAATCATGAGATGCTCTCTAACGGTAAGCAACGGATGAAACAAATCGTTTTGTTGGATATACGACGAGATGGAGGCCAGTGTCCGCCCGTTTACCGGCCGTCCGTTTATCAGCACATCTCCGGTGACCGACATTTTACCCATATTTCTACCGGTGAGTGCATTGAGCAAGGTTGTCTTACCAGCCCCACTATTATTATTTGTATAACATGTTGTAAAATATA